GTGCCTCAGCGCCTCAAGTAGCTGGGATTACAGGCACACACCACCAAGCCCAGCTAATTTCTAAAAATTTTTATTTATTTATTTTTTGGGACGGAGTCTTGCTGTGTTGCCCAGGCTAGAATGCAGTGGCACAATCTCGGCTCACTACAACCTCCGCCTCCCAGGTTCAAGTGATTCTCCTGCCTCGTCCTCCTGAGTAGCTGGGACTACAGGCGTGTGCCACCATGCCTGGCTGATTTTTTTTATTTTTATTTTTTTTTTGAGACAGTCTTGCTCTGTCATCCAGGCTGGAGTGCAGTGGCGCTATCTCGGCTCACTGCAACCTCCACCTCCTGGGTTCACGCCATTCTGCTATCTCAGCCTCCTCAGCAGCTGGGACTACAGGCACACGCCGCCATGCCTGGCTAATTTTTTTGTATTTTTAGTAGAGATAGGGTTTCACTATGTTGGCCAGGCTGGTCTCGAACTACTGACCTCCTGATCCGCCTGCCTCCGACTCCCAAAGTGCTGGGATTACAGGCGAGCCACCGCGCCCAGCAATTTATTTATTTATTTAGAGACTGAGTTTTGCTCTTGTTACCCAGACTGGAGTCCAATGGTGCAATCTTGGCTCACTGCAACCTCCGCCTCTCGGGTTTAAGTGATTCTCCTACCTCAGACTCCCGAGTAGCTGGGATTACAGGTGTGTGCCACCACACCCAACTAATTTTTGTATTTTTAGTAGAGACAGGGTTGTTGTCTCTACTAAAAATACAAAAATTTTAGACCATCCATGTTGGCCAGGATGGTCTCGATCTCTTGACCTTGTGATCTGCCCACCTCAGCCTCCCAAAGTGCTGGGATAACAGGCATGAGCCACATGCCCACTATACTATATTTTTTTAATACAGTACCATCTCCAGAAATGCTTACTGAGGCCAAGTGCAGTGGGTCACACCTGTAATTCCAGCACTTTGGGAGGCCGAGGTGGGTGGATCACTTGAGGTCAGGAGTTTGAGACCAGCCTTGCCAACATGGTGAAACCCCATCTCTACTAAAAATAAAAAAATTAGCTGGGCGTGGTGGCACATGCCTGTAATCCCAGCTACTGGGGAGGCTAAGGCAGGAGTATTGCTGGAACCCAGGAGGTGGAGGTTGCAGTGAACTGAGATCGCACCACTGCACTTCAGCCTGGGTGAAGAAGCGAGACTCCATCTCAAAAAGAAAAAAGAAATGCTTACTGAGCCACTTAGGTATTCTTTTCAGACATCATTAATTGCATAATAATAAAAAGTAGGGCATACCCCAGCACACCCAGCACTTTTTTTTTGAGACAGTGTTTTGTTCTGTTGCCCAGTCTGGAGTGCAGTGGCACCACCTTGGCTCACTGCAGCATCTGCCTCCTGGGTTCCAGTGATTTTCCTGCCTCAGCTTCCCGGGTCACTGGAATTACAGTCATGCGCCACTATGCCCGGCTAATTTTTATATTTTTAGTAGAGACAGGGTTTCATCATGTTGGCCAGGCTGGTCTCGAACTTCTGACCTCAGGTGATCCGCCCTCCTCAGCCTCCCAAAGTGCTAGGGTTACAGGCATGAGCCACTGCGCCTGGCCTTATTTTTTTTTTCTTTGAGATGGAGTCTTGCTTTGTCGCCCAGGCTGGAGTGCAGTGGCTCTATCTAGGCTCCCTGCAGTCTCCACCCCCTGGGTTCAAATGATTCTCGTGTTTCAGCCTCCTGAGTAGCTTTGTACGTTTAGTAGAGACAGGGTTTCACCATGTTGGCCAGGCTGGTTTAGAACTCCTGACGTCAGGTGATCCACACTGCTCCGCCTCCCAAAGTGCTAGCATTACAGGCGGGAGCCACCGCACCCGCCTTACACAATAACTCTTAA